GTTGTAAAGCAGCTCTAAAAGACAATAGTGCCATTATTTAGCTCAAGTCAGTTCAGATCAGTTCACAAGTCATATAAACTACCTTTGAGGTTTAATTTTTACAAAACTCAATAAACCACAATAAAGTTAAAAACTGTAGCTGTGTTTTAAAATGGGTCATGGATGTCTTATCACCATCCTCCACAGTATTTTCTGTGCAACAACTACAAATGATCTTTGCTTTACTTAACAGAGTGAATTGTGTTCTTTCCCTTATTATTTTTCCGTGGAATTGAATGCTTTTACTGCATAGTTAGGGTGCATGACTTCAATATAACCTTTAACTGATATTTATTTGGTACCAAAGGTTCATGTTTCTTATGGCAAGTCTGTCATGTTCCAGCTCAAAGGTATTTTTGGACGTAATGTATTAAAAAGACAGATAAAGTTAATCTCAGCCTCAACTGACCCCATAACAGTGACCATTTGAATCAGCTTTCTACAATTTCCACTATCTGATCCTATTTCCAATGCCTTCTTGAACATTCTGTTATGATACTTTTTCGATACTTGCCTCAGGCAAATCTTCACAAGTTTCACTGGTATCATATAACAGCATCCAAATAAGAGAAGTTCCTTTTCTAAATATACTATTTAAAGATTTTGTAGGGATGGTACTGTGCATATATATATATGTATACTATTTATTCATTTTTGCTCATTATAGTAAGAAGTATCAACAGAACAAGTGAATAATAAACAATCTCTTTTATATGCATTCTAGTGCAAAGATCTCACAAAAGAGACACGTGGAATTACTTCTCAAAAATTCACTTGCTTCCACTTACTCTAGGTTTACAGGGGCTTTTTTTGTTGTTTTTGTTTAAATCAGATTTGCTAATGGAAACCCAGTGTTAACCAGTTATAAAGATGATGATCTATTAACCAGGTGATTTCGAGTAATAAACAAAATAGTAGCTGAGGTTAACTAACTGGATAGATAGATAGATAGATAGATAGATAGATAGACAGACAGATGATATATG